TGTCCCACAATAGTCTCAGCACCTTGTGAAATTGAGGGAGAACTTTGGATGAGTGAATCCCATTGCTACAAAATAAGGCATACACTTATAATGGTGGGAAAATTAATCATTGGAATAATTTATGAAGGATTATGGTGGGTTCTCATCACTGACAATTTTTAAATCAAGCTTGGATGTTTTTTCTAAAAGATCTGCTCTAGGAATTATTTTGGGGAATTCCTATGGCCTATGTTATACAGGAGGTCAGACTAGAGCAGGGGTCGGCAACCTACAGCACGCGTGCCAAAGTTGGCACGCAAGCTGATTTTTCCTGGCACGCAGTGTGGGCTGAGCCACTCAGCCCCGCCGCCACTCTGGAGTTCCCGCTTCCGGCTCCTGCCAGCCGGGGTCCCCGCGGATCCAATTCAGCACCCGCTGCTGGCCTGGGGGGGAAGGAACCCCAGGCTGGCAGCGGGCTGAGACCCCGGCTGGCAGGAGCCACCGGTGAAAACCCCCAGAGCCGTGGCCGGGCTGAGCCGCTCAGCCCGCCCCGCTCTGGAGTTCCCGCTGCCGGCTCCTGCCAGCCGGGGTCCCCGCGGGTGCAACTCAGCACCCGCTGCTGGCTTGGGGGGGGAGGAACCCCAGGCTGGCAGCGGGCTGAGACCCCGCTGGCAGCAGCCTGCAGCCGAAACCCCAGAGCGGGGTCGGGCTGAGCCGCTCAGCCCGCCGCGGCTCTGGGGTTTTCACCGGCGGCTCCTGCTGAGGTCGGGCTGAGCCGCTCAGCCCGCCCCGCTCTGGAGTTCCCACTGCCGGCTCCTGCCAGCCGGTTCCCCGCGGGTCCCACTCAGCACCTGCTGCCGGCCTGGGTGAAGGAACCCCAGGTTCCTTCCTGAGACCTCAGCTGGCAGGAGCTGGGGGCAGAAACCCCAGAGTGGCGGCAGGCTGAGCCAGTCGCTGATCTGGGATTCTGGCTGCTGGCCCCTCGCCAGCAGGGGTCTCTACCGCGCAGCTCCACTCACCTTGCTTCCGGTTGGAGGCTCTCTTGCAGACAGGGTCCAGGCCTCCAGCCCTGCTCAGGCCTACCAGCCACCTACTCCACTCACCTCAGCTGCCAATCTTGGTTTCCAGCCCTTGCTCATCCTGCTTTCGGGCCTGGAGTCCCAGCAGGCCATCCTTTACATATAACAGTAGTTTGGTTATATATTATAGACTTATAGAGAGACCTTCTAAAAAGCGTTAAAATGTATTACCGGCACGCGAAGCCTCAAATTAGAGCAAATAAATGAAGATTCGGCACACCACTGCTGAAAGGTTGCCGACCCCTGGACTAGAGGATCACAGTCAGTGGTCCCCAACCTTTTTGTGGCCAGTAGCACATTCATGTTTTCAGAAGAGTGTGGCGGGCGCCAACCATTTTTCAAGGCTTATTTTGTATTTGTACATTAAATAATACGAAAAACATCATATTTAATATAACATAATTTATGAATCCATAAGATTAAAAAGGTAATTTTACATGTAAAAGGTATTAATTAAATTATTCGGCAATTACTCTTTCACCTTACCATGTGAATTTGCTCTTTTTTATCTACCTGTAAGAATAATTAAGGAGTTTTTACAATATAAATATCATAAACATTCGGTCCATTCTGCAGAGGCGGAGCGTTTTTTGTTTTGTTTTGGTTAGGCTTGACCCGTAGTTGGAACCCTTGGCTTACATTCCCCCTGGACAGCTGGAAAAACCTGGATGGTAATTGGTCATCATCTTATCGGTCAGAGTGAGTGAGGAGGTGTAACCAATTGTCTGCACTGTTCCAGGGCAAGCCAAAGTGTTTGTTTTTTAATAAGTAGCCCTCTAGTTCTATCAGCATCTCAATTTATAACTGCTCCGTTCTCCAAGTTTATCACCTCCTGCAGGTTTGAGCCTGTCTGTGTTGATGCCTGAGTAGTCCTTGCAAATACAAACAGTATTATACATTGCTGGATACACATGACTAATCCTTAGCATTATGCAGGAGCCTTTGGGACCTTGGATATTAGTTTTGGAAGAGAGAATTTATAGATATAACAGGATCTATTGCTTGTCTCTCAGCACCTCTTCTACACCACCAGTTAATGGTGTTGAAGAAGCTCTGGATAAGGGAATTCCATAGACTGTCTATTATTTTTGTGTTTTTATTCTCTATAAATCAATGAGATAGTAATTCCACAGGGACTCAGTGATGTTTTAACAACTAGTCTTAAATGTTTATATGTTTAGTATTTTTGACAGCCTTATTTTGGGTTTGTTTTATTATGAAATATACTATTATATATATATGAAATATACTATATATATATATATATATATATATATATATATATATATATATATATATGGTAATTGGTCATATATGGTTTATGATATATATATATATATATCTAATTATTATTATTATTATTATGACATATACTAATATTCATGGGTTCTGTGTGCTAGCTACAGTTGCAATATGTTCTAACAATAGTGAGATATCAGATATCAAAATGTATCTTACAGAGAAGCAAGAAAAAAATTCAAAATTTTGTATGAACTAGTTAAATATAGAATCTACCATACAATGAGGTAGCAGAGCTTGTAGAATATGTTGGTGGAAGTTATCACTAAGTGGCTACATAAATTTTGGAAATCAATGGTTATTTAAGTGGTAAATACACAAATTATTTCTATTCCCTAATGAAAAAAATTATTTCCATGAACATCTGTTCTTACTGTATCAGGTAAATAACACCTATTTTATCTATTGCACTAGGCTATAGAGGAATCAGAGACCTGTACAGTACCTGGTGGCTTAGCAAGTGTGAAGAAACAATTTGAGAAATGGGAAACTGGTCAACACCAGTACGAGCACAAATCTGTACAGGTAATAATAGTAGTATAAGAGTTATGACCTACTAGATAACTTGGAGGGGAAATACTGTTACTTGGCGTGCTGAATGTGCTGATTAATTTCATGATCACTGACAGACATTGTTTTTGTAATGTACGTAGAGAGTGTAATTTTCTCTTTGATATTTGCTACTGTAATTATATACTCTTTAGGTAGATAAACCTTCAGTGTGGAAAAGAGATCTAGACTTATAGCTGATCTACAAGAAAATAGATAAGAATTGTAAGAACCTTGTCTTTGGGGTTGTAATTCATTATAAAAGTATCTGCTATTGGCATATATTTTACTTGAAGCGTTGTTAAGCCATTTCACTTGAGAAGGAGTTTGCTGTTTCCTTCGTGTTTAAATTTAATCAGCTTCTCTAAACAGATCAAAAATTGCATGGAAGAACCCAGATGCTACATAAAACCACATTCCAAGTGTTTTAGATAAAGGGTTTTTGCATTTTATTACTTCATTATCATATATCATGAAAAATGGTTGCTGAAGATAATGATTTTGGAATATATGAAGGCTTAGTGCAATTAATTTTATTACACATCTATACTGTGCACTCTGAAAAATAGCAATGGATAGTGAACAGCAGCATTAACTGAGTTTGTTTGAGAGATATTCAAATAATGTAAGTGTAAAACTTTGTACCACAAGATAAAGCTACAGTTTGAACATACTCATACTTAGTGTGTTAAATTAGGGCAACTTTACGAAAGGCCACTGTTTATCATTTTATTACTCATGAACGTTAGAACCCACAGCATTTACACATGGTAAGCCAAATTCTACCTTGGGGGTATGCTTGTGCAGTTCCCATTGAAGTCAACGGGAAACTTGTGTATTCAAAGGCAGAATCTGAAGATTAAATAAATGAAATATAAGTAAGAGTAAATGCTGGATTATGTCTAAGGCTGGAGGTACATTTCAGTGGAAATCATGGATTTGCAAATGCAGAAATATGAAAAGGCATTTACATTTTTTATGGGGAGAATGTGGTAAAATAAAGAATTTATTATCTCCGATGTCTTTAAATTGAAATTGTGATTCTTTAAAAAATAATTAAAATATCTTATGGGACACTATGATTATCTAGGTGTCTACTGAAGCTTTTCTTATTTGTAGTCTTCTTGTATGGCCTATTTAATGCTTTAAAATGCATTTGAATGTGTTTGCATAAGGTTTAGGGAGAACTGTTACTTTTTCTTTTCTTTGTGTTTCTGTGATGTCTGAGGGTGGCATCCTATGAAATAGGCTGTTGTTGCTGGGACATATGTGAACCTGTCACCAACAACTAGACTTACCTAGATAACTCACCCATTCTCTCCCTCTCACAGTGTCACATTTACTCTCCCTTCCCACACAGACACTCTTATTGACGCTCCCGGGATGGCTTTACATAGCAGACCGCAGTTTTATTAATTATTCCTTGGGGAAGAGCACTACACTGCCTGCCCTCTGCTCTCACATGCCAGGCATTTGACTGGTTCCAGTCCAGGTTACAGAGATTTAACCACAAACCAAACAGTAATTTGGGGTAGGGCCTCCCTGAGCTACCCCACAGACTCAGCTCAGTTGTGAAACCTCTTCCCTTCCCTGAGTAAGTGGGGATGGAGTAAAAAAGGCCACAAAGCTGGGATGGCAGGAGAACCTCAGTCCACAAAGACTTCAGGCTCCTCCTGCCATAAGCACATTTATTTGGGCATAAGCTTTCATAGGCTAGAACCCACTTCATCAGATGTATGGAGTGGAAAATACAGGAGCAGGTATAAATACATGAAAAGATGGGAGTTGCCTTACCAAGTGTGAGGTCAGTCTCTAAGGTGCCACAAGGACTCGTTGTTGTTGTTTTTTTGAATGTGCAGTTACCTTCCAATGATGAATCATTAGACCACTTTCCAAACTTAATACTGCTGTTGAAAAGCACCGATTGAAAAGCAACAGGGAGGAGGAATGCAAAGAGATACACTTCTTAACCTTTAGGAAAGCACCAAATCCATTTTATTATAGGGGAGCTAGTATTTACCCCTATATTTCAATTGCTTAACACTCCCGATTACAGATTCTTGCAACTTTTTTTAGGTGCTCCAGCATTTCTAATATTTGCAGCAGGGCTTTTCAAGTCATCAAAGAGAAATCCATAAGACCATAGACATGCCTTTTCTTTGTCCCATGACATTCTCTCTAGGTTTTGCTGAGTTATAAAATTCGTAAATTGTTATTTCCCATCTCTTACTTGTGTTCCTCAGGTAAATTTTGGCAGCCTGCCAAAATAATAACTGAACATAAACATTCTAAAAGGCTGCATCCACATCACCACCAAAGCAACAGCAGCAGCCCACAATGCAGCGGCAACCCTGGAAACAGACAGCCTCCCAGACCCAGCAAAATAACCCGAGTAGTCCACACACTCAATCGCTCCCTGCCCCTGAGTATCAGTCTTATCATGCTGATAACCAATGTAGTTAGCTCAAGCACTACTGCGTTGCTGAAGAGTCAGGGCTCAAACCGCGTTGATGATGCATGATTATAGAAATGGAAATCATACGTATGGAAGGAATTTCAGCCAAACCTGATTGGGGGTGGGGGGAGAGTTACAGTTACCCATGATAGAATTTGTTTGTACCTTTTTCCATTAAAATAAAAAAAATCTAGGACATTACATTAAGAAAATGTTAAAATAATGTTAAGGTTGGAAGGTCAAGCACTCAAAAGTTAGGAAATGCCAGCTCTACAATTGCCTGTGAAATCTTAATTCAGCCCTCTTGTGTGTAAATATTATGATACAGCCTTTATTTATACAATCAGATACTATTTTTTCCCCACAGAACCTCTGTCTCATGGGAACTGTAGCTGCTCTCAGTATCTCTAGCAGTGGTCTGGAGGAATGAACACTGGGTTGGGAGTCAGGTATTCCTGAATTCTAATCCCAGCTTTGTCACTTTTTTTACTGTGTGGCCTCAGGCAAGTCTTTTTGTTTCAGTTTCCCCATCTGTAAAATTAGAATAATAAATCTCTCATCTTTCAGTAAAAGATAAATTCATCAATTTTGAGGCATGGGGATATTATAGTGAGGATCGCCCTGGAAAACACTATGAGGACATGAATAATTCTGCATTCATTGCACAGTACTCAGTAACTAAGGCAGGGGTCACTAGCTGAATGAAGATAAAAATATTGAACGTCTGCCTCATTCCCTAAGCACTGCCCATCCTCTCCACTGAATGAGGCAGGGTCCTATGGCAAAAATAGTATGTGATCATGTAACTGAATTGTGATTAAAATTTCCAAATTATCTGACTTCAGAACCTGAATCCCACTGACTTTCAGTGAGATTTAGGCTCCTAAATTTACTTATCTAATGCTCATGCATAAGGGGGCAGAATTAAGTATGCATAGGCAGTCTGCATCAGGGGTGGGCAAACTTTTTGGCCTGAGGGCCACATTAGGGTATGGAAATTGTGTGGCGGGCCATGAAAGCTCACGAAATTGGGGGGTAGGGATGCAGGAGGGGGTGAGGGCTCCGGCTGGAGGTGCGGGCTCCGGGGTGGGGCCAGAAATGAGGAGTTCAGGGTGTGACAGGGGACTCGGGGTTCGGATTGGGGGGTGTAAGGGCTCTGGGGTGCAGGAGGGTGCTCTGGGCTGGGATTGAGGGGTTCAGAGGGTGGGAGGGGGATCAGGGCTGGGACAGAGGGTTGGGGTACAGGGGCAGGGGGGAGGGCTCTGGTTGGGGGTGCGGGGCACTGGGGTGTGGCTGGGGATGAGAGGCTTGGGGTACAAGAGGGGGCTCTGGGCTGGTATCGAGGGGTTCAGAGGGTGGGAGGGGGATCAGGGATGTGGCAGGGGGTTGGGGCGCGGGGGGTGTGTGCTCAAGGGTGCAGGCTCTGGGCAGTGCTTAGTGCAAGCAGCTCCCAGAAGCATGTCCTCCCTCCAGCTCTGAGGTGTGGCAAGGTGGCTCTGCGCGCTGCCCCGTCCACGGGTGCCACCCCTGTAGCTTCCATTGGCTGTGGTTCCCAGCCAATGGGAGCTGCGGGGGCGGAGCCTCTGGACGGGGCAACGTGTAGAGCCGCCTGGCCACGCCTCCGCATACTACATAGGAGCTGGAGGGGGGTCATGTCAGCTGTCACTCGGAGCGGGGCAAGCCCCCAGCCCCACTCCCCATCTGGAACACCAGAGGGGGGCAAACCCCCAACCCCGTTCCCTAGCAGGAGCTGAGAGTCAGATTAAATGCTCTGATGGACCGGATGTGGCCTGCAGGCCATAGTTTGCCCACTTCTGGTTTTCTAACTTTTGAGTGGTTGGCTTTGTAGCCTAGAAACATTCTTTTAACATGTTTTTTTTAATGTAATTCCTCTTATATTGCTAATTTCTTCTAGTGAACATATCACTTTTCTTTGCCACTTTTATTATTTTCTCTATCAGCTTCAACAGGTTTAGAAGTACAGTTCAGTTCACACGCGATCCCAAAAGTCTGGATTACCTGAACTATTCAACCTCCTGAGTCTGAAAAACAGGGCTGGAAATCTCAAGAGAATGAACATTTTTGTTTCCAGTCAGCCCAGAAATACCACAAAAAGTCTCTCACTGTATCTCACTATTTCCACTTCTAGTTTCAGTATGAAATGAGAAGTGCCAAGGCAAGAGAAAATCACATGCACACTTTGAAAGTGAACTGAACCTTTAAAAGTAAAATAAAATTAAGTGCTGGGGTTAAATTCAAGTCAGGGGGAGGGTCAGGCCTATTCTTATTCTACCAATCTAATTGGTCCAGACTTAAGGCCATGTTTTGATACCCTTGTTCAGGAATAGTTCCTTACTCCAAAAGCAGTAGGGTATCAGAATCTGGCCCTTACTGAGTCAACAATCATCAGTTCCACTATCTTAGGGCTAGACTGTAACATAAAAACTTGCCCTAAATAAGGGGAGCACATAGCTGTACTGAGGGGGAGCTGTATTTTGTACCAGGGGAGTCACACTGAGAA